AATTCGTTTTACTATTGACATTTTCCTGGTAAGTAGTCGTCTATCCTCTTACTGGAAACCATAGTAATTCAACCTAAGACTTTGCGGTGGACTGTACAACAAGATAAGATAGATAAATGATTCGTAAAACCAGCTCGTCTTCAGTCATCTCGGTGAATACATGTAGAGAAACTAGTCTGACTTAGCAACTGATACCCCTCATTATAACTTGGACAGATTTTTAGGTCATGTGTCAGAAAAAGATACCCTGTTTAATGTGTTTTCATGCATTTTCTTGCAAATATATGTCATTTTTCATGTAAAAGTTCTTCATTTCTATGATTGGTCGGCTGAAGGTCACTCGTGCGTTTGCATCCTTGGGACGCTATTTTTAGACTTTGCCCATTTTAATTTTAATTGCATTGCATACTGCTATAATTATTATTTCAAGTATTCACACATTTGATCCGATCCCCTCACCGGATATAATTTCTTAATAAACCAGACAGGACTCCAGGTGATCATAGACAAGACGGAGGTTAAGAAAATAACCAACCGACCAACAACAACAACAACATCCAGCGTCAATCACCATCAACGGGAAGGATTTAAAAGAGGCTACTTCATTCACTTCACTTATCTAGGGAGCATTGTCTCAACTACAGGCAATCGGAACGGACGAGGATGTCAAATCGAGCGAGGATCGGGAAGGCGAGAAACACGTTGTTCATCAACCTGAAACCAATCTGGAAATCTTCGTCACTCAGCTCAGCATCAACAACAAGTTTCGGTCGGATTTTCAATACAAACAAAGTCAAGTCAGTCAGTCAGTCAGTTCTTCTATACGGAATGGATCAGAAACTTGTCAGGCGGGTGGGTCACAAAGAATATTTTCAACAGCCTGTTGCAGACCTACCTTCATCAACCAACAACTGTCTTCGCTGGCTCTATACTGAAGAGCAGATGGCCAGCCGGGCCGGAAACAATCACCACCAACAAGAAACTATGGCTGGGAACAAACAAAACAAGAACCTATCGCCCACCAACAGCAAATATACAGGATAAAGTGGAGATGGATCGGTCACTCGCTGAGGAGGAGGCTGGGTGACATCGTGCACGCGTCAGGCCATTTCTCGAGTGGAACCAGGCCGAAAGGGAAGCGGTGAGTGGGACGTCATTGCAAGGGTGACATGGGAGAGATCGTGTGAGGAGGAGTTGAGAGAGTATGGACCAACATGGATGCATGTGAAAAGTACAGCAGAAGGAAGACAGAAGTGGCAGGTGGAGACGTGCAGTTGAAGCCGTATGTTCTACTAGGAACCCAAGGGAACAATAATATATATATACGCTTGTACAACGTGATAACAAATTCGATAATGAATAGAGTCTCTTCAATGAATATTGTGTTCTTAATTTCCCTAAATGACGACTATTCAGATGAGATATTTCTCTTTCCAAGTGAAAAAAATGGAGGTAATACACAGGGAGATGACGTTCTCATCGTTTCAAAAAGAGAGAAAAAATCAATACTTGTTTTAATGTCTGTTTTTATCATCACCCTCCCCACCCCCCAAAAAAAACATGACCGGCTGTATACGTCCTTTAACTAAACAGCTAGCTGTAGGCGGTATATATGCATATATATATATATATATATATATATATATATATATATATATTATCCAATTGTAACTCATTAAACATATATATATATGACAATATCATATCACAAAATTCTGTTGACTTGAATTATGATTTGTTATTAGTCCTCTTTTTTTTCTGCAAGCATATGATTCGTTGATCAGATTATTTTTTTGGCCTTTTCACATGAAGGTTATCGTTTTAGGTTTTAATCTAATTGGTGAAAAAGGATTTTTAGACATAACACATGCAAATTTTTCAGACAAAACAACGTAATGTCTAAGTCTTAAAATTTCATATGTGTATATATATATCGTAAATTTGCTTTGTTCTCCGCCATATGCTGTAAAATTGATCGCTGAACTTTTCATCATCAATCCAACACAGGATGTTAATATTTGTTCGTGGTTTATCCGGCAGTGTATGCCCTATTCATGTAAATCCCTACGAAAATATTCTATCCGTAAAGCTTAGGATATTTTATTTGAAAAGTAAGTACTTTTATAATTTTTTTTTCTCAAAATGTGTTTGGCGGCCTGCTTAAACCTTGGGCTACCAAAGAAACCTCCATCTCTTTATTGTATGTATATTTTCTTTGGTTGGGTTTGTTTTAATCGATTGAGGGTGAAGTTAAAGTATGATAGTCCAAGGTCAAGGTCCTTTAAAAGTTGACCTTCAACGGCGGATCAGGCACACGGAATGCTATGAAATATCACTCCAAATCAAATCATGCCTTGACTTTTTGAATTTATTTACACTACGTACTTCCTCTGTAAATCTATACTGTTAGGGAGTTTTGTAATTAGTAGTGTTCTCTGAGCTGGTTGGTTGGTTGGTTTAGTTGAGGAGCTTTCGTCGTCCACCCCCCCCCGTCTGGACAACATCCCCCTTCACCACAGGTTTTAGCATAAAATGAACTGATTTAAATTTTTCATGAGTTATAGAATTCCGTCTCCTGGTAATCAGCTTTACATATGTATTGATCGTTTTTTATTGACTCAGGTTTTAAACTTTCTCGTCACGTATGATTTACTTTTTATTAGTTGGTGTATTTCGTCTATATTAAAGTGTTTGTTAATCGCTGGCTTATTCACTTGATTACCATCCTTCTAGGAATTTTCAAAAGAATGGATACTGAACAAAGAGTACTCTTTTAGATAAATTCATCATCAGGCTCTACATTTATACATACATTATAGTGAATGAATGAGTTAGTGTTATAAACGATATTAATATTCAAATAACATCGAATCAATAATACTGATGGATTACAGCTGAAACGCATCAACATAAAATAAGCTGAATATCAGAAGGATTAGGAAAGATAATAGTACAAATTCATGAGTTTATAGCTTCTACTGAAGGCCAGGGCAATAGTAGGGGCTGAACTTGCTTCTTTTGAACACAGAGTGCTAGTTGTTTGAGGCGAATCGCAATAGCCTCTGTTGTTTGGAGCCTGCGGTGCTTGGATGTTTTTGGTAATTTATTTGGCACCAGGTATAATATAGAGAAGGATTCATCTACGCTGGTTTTGTGTCCTGTTTGCACCAGATGTTCCAATATCGAGCTGTTAATAGTTTTCACTACACCTTTACTTAGCCATGCTGGGAGATGTTCTCGAGCACGAAAAATCAAGTTCCTAGAGCAACGGACAATATAACTGGCTCCACAAGCGCAGTATTTTCGGTGTTTCCTCTATTTAAAATTTCCAAATTATCCCAATCAAATTAATGTCCATAATTATCCATATGCATTGATGGGGACGTCCACTTTGAACGATGTAATATTCATTACAGTTCATATATGCAATTTATTTTGTAAATGGTAATAATTCTATCTCCTTTTTCTGTTGGATGTGTCTTTCGGTTTGCACAAAATCGAATTAAGTGATTTGACTTGCTTGTGTGCCATGTCTATTTCAAATAGTTTCAATATTTTAGCGCCCCCTTCGAATCAGAATGCAGGAACGCAAATCAGCTGTGTCAAAAGACATGATATGTATTCTTTCATATCAATGCATGTAAACAACTATGGACATCAATTTGATTGGGATAATGTCGAAATTTTAGACAGAAGAAACACCAAAAGTGCAGTGCCAGGGAATTCCTAGAAGCCTGGTACTCAAACGAATATGCAATTAACAAACATGTTAATATAGACGAAATATATCAACTAATAAAAAGTAAATCATACGTGACGAGAAAGTTTAAAACCTGAGTCAATAAAAAACGATCAATACATATGTAAAGCTGATTACCAGGAGACGGAATTCTATCACTCATGAAAAATTTAAATCAGTTCATTTTATGCTAAAACCTGTGGTGGAGGGGGATGTTGTCCAGACGGAGGGTGGGGGGATGACGAAACTCTTCAACTAAACCAACTAATCAACCAGATCATAGAACAATAATAATTGCAAATCATCCACCTGAGCTACAAATCTTCTCTACTGTTAGGTAGTGTTATGATGTTTATGACTAAGTTATAGGATCTAAGGTTAAGGTTAGGTTTAGGGTTAAAATAAGGATTATGGTTACAGTTAGGAGTAGGTTGAAGAGTAGTGTTAGAAATTTCAATGAATCTCAAACCACCATGACCTACAGTTACTTGGATGAAGGGGTCTATCGAGCGTCGTACGATTTCTCTCTAGATCGTTAGTGTATTGACTGGGAAACATTCTTACAACGCATAAGGTACAAATACACAGTTCAACATCATGTTTGCAATATTTTTTTAGTGTATTTTTCAACGATTATGCGACTATTTTTTGCATCTGAATTCTGATTGGTTGCTCAAGGTCACTGTGATTTTGGTCATGGTACTTTAACTTGGCTCGATTGAGGGATAACCTCTAGTGGTATCATCTACCCTGGTGTGTGTATTGAAAATGATTATAAGCTTCTGATTAGGAAGTTCTTATTAAACTTGGGAATGGTCTGATTGTGGGTGGCAACGTGCTCGAATACATGGGATAACTGTTCTTCAGTTAAGTCCTCGGGTCTCAAAATGTACTTCTGAACATCTTACAATTGGCTTTCACAGCTAGATATCTTGGATAGATTTCCTGAAGGAGACAAAGCATATATATCATAATGGAATGTTTTGTGTCCCAACTTAGAGATCATTTTGTCACAGGTTATACTAGCAATTAATATTTTACTTGAAGATACTGTACGAAGGGAAAATATCATGCAATGAAGGCTTCTGAAAATCCTCTACATTTTATAAATACCGTCCAGAATAAAGACGCTATTATATGGTCAATGTTAAACTTTAAACACCACTAACTACCAATCAGCGAATGACCTTGAAGGCACCAATCACATGAAAGAATCATTTTTGGGTATAGAATACACATATATTTATGAAAAAAAATACATCACAAATTGCATAAGTGTTACAGAGGATACATTTCTCTCATATGTGATAAAAATATCTCCCAGATGAACATAGGAGTATCAGTTGAAAATTTACAATACATTCTGTACATATATATTCATCTAAATGACTATAAATGACATTTCTTTGTCATCCACTGATGGCTGTAATCCTGTTTTTAACCTTTCCCAAAAGCCCCTCAAATGAATTGGTGTGGGTCCCTGTAATAGGACCCAAAAAATCACTAGAATGGCTGACTCTGTGGTAAATATATATCCAAGGGATGACAAGGAGTTATAACCCTTCCACTCATCTGTGTGTATTATAGATCCTTGTTTCGCACCAGTCGACTGATAATAGGTATTAAAGTACTTGACTTGCTATCTGCTGTCCTCTCGATGAATCCTTTCTGTAGAGAGGCATCATATAAACCAATCACCCAAATATTATTCGTTCGTTCTCGACCACAGTCGTATTTTTTTCTTTAATAAGACAGTTTCATCTACACGTACGACGACACCTTCTCCTCCCAATAAGGAAGTAAGCCAATTTGTTCGCTAGGATGCTAAATCCCTGCAGTGCTGATACCACTGAACCGTCGGCACGCGACTATTTTCAGTCCCAGCAGCTGCACGTCTCACAGGCTGTTTCAAAACCCAGTGAATACAAATATACAAAATCTGGGTTAAGGAAAGATGGAACCTAGCAAAAAATGTTCCTAAAAATATTGGAATCATCAGCAAAAGCGGAATAAGAGCTTAAGCTCACGTGAATAAAATTCGCTGGACCATTCAAGGTCAACTGTACGACGCAATCTATTGGTAGTTAGTGGTACCGAAATTTCAACTTGGCGTTTAAATATTTTAAGCGTACTGAAAAAACGTGACAGCAGTAAACAATAGCTACAAAAATGAACGGCTTGTCAAATGACCTTGAACGGCCAATCATAATAGTTTCATGCTTAAGAGGATTAATTGATTATAAAAATATGCTTGAGACGAATAGAAATCAATTTAAAAAGGACAGTTTTACTCTAAAATGCTGTGAGATTTAGGTTTTAGTAAGGGGGCAAAGCAAACGTAAATAAGAGACATCAAAGTCGGTTGACCTTGAAGCAACCAATCAGATCTCTGCCCAGCATTACAAATAGATGCTGTCCATATAATTTTTGTTGCACGTTTCAACCAGATTTGCTTTTTGACTTCTGTGTGGAAAATGGGTTGATAGGAAAGACTAAAACATGCATATATGGAGGGATAATGACAACTCAGAAGTATCGCCAAGCTGTTGAAGGTTATCAGATTCAGATGCAACCACTCTTAAATGAAGAAGTCTGTAAGAGTTGGTAAGTCTTACATTACGGTGACAGTTTAGGTACTTTCTTCTCAAAATCGACACTCCCTCATAGTAAAATATTGCCTATATGCCACAATCAGCTACTGAAGCGCACACCATCTGCTACAGGTGCAGAAACAGAGAATACTAAAATGTCGGCACAGTGTACCGGTACCGACACTTTCAGTAAATTACGTCAAAAAAGGTCAATGCAATTACTTCTATACTTGGAGGGATTACTGTCGTCGTTCACACTTACGAGTTAGTATTATGCGAAAAATTAGTTGCTACGGTAGGAGAAGAGCAAGAGCACCATGTTCGGGTGCTGGGACTGTACGACACAAATCTTCGGAAAGAGATTGTGTAACTCATCACAAACAGAAGTAGCTATGTTTTATTACCAATAATACAATGACTATTCCTCCCAGGCACTACCATTCACACAGATGAGTGCAGAGGTTATTCGTAGTTATTATCACTGGGCTATATTTATCATAAAGTAAGTCAGTCATTCTTCTGAATTAGTAGATCCTATAAGTGGAGCACATACAAATTCTATTGAAGGATTCTAGAATGACAATTGGTTTCCGAAATGATATGTAATATAGTCCCTTAGATGCATTTTGTGCCGCTATTGCTTTGGTATGTCACTAACTATTCCTATGTAAAAACTGGAATCAATTTCTTCAGCATATTAGAGATTTATACCCGGTATAATTCATTTTTATTACATGTGTAACTCATAAATGCACGTTTTTATGAATTAAATGTCACAAATCACGCGGATGAATTTGATTGGTTGTTTCAAGGTCACTTGAATTTGATGTCCAAACGACCAAGTAAACAGACATAATGACCTTGATCGACCAGTCAGATGAGCCCATACTAAAATCATGCGTATATAGATATGCTGCATGCATTACGCCATGAATTTCATTAGGGTATAGTATTTGTAGGGATAATAGGCTCATAGGAAGCTTTTAGATGTGGAGGAATAATGTCTTTATAGAGGTATACAGCGGCTGTTGATGGATATGTGTACAGATATCTACCCTATCATTACAGAAAATCTATCTGAGAAAATATGACGTTCCTTTTTTAGGTTCATGGTTGCTGTTGAACATTGAATGGGTCACGAAACAGCATCATATACAATCATCTGGATAGATTTATGTACAAAAATAGGTTTGGACGATCACTTTAGGCTCCAATAAGGAATTAGAAGGTTTTCTCGGGACACAAACGAGAAAATTACCCTATATAATGTGTTTTTTCAAACATTGAATTTGATGTCCATAAAAGGGTATTTTTTAAATTAAGCGTGTTTAATTTGAGCTTACCTAATTGGTCAATCAAAGTCATTATGTCCGTTTAATTCATTCTTTTATTTGGGTCGCTTATGTTTATATTTATCCGAAACTATAATCCTGACCTTAACCCTAATTAGATGTTCAACCTAACTTTAACCGGTTAGTAGACCATCATGGAATCAACAGCAAAAGTTGTGGATAGACTGTGTTTACCTCAAGTTATGTTCGTCTAACTTGATTAGGATGCGCCTTCACAATACGACACTATAACATAGAGACCACTTGAAAATATCCCCCACACTGAGGTGGACACAAAAAAGTCAGATTGGAAAAAATAACAACCCCAATGACAGCAACCTTGATCAGGCAAAACACCCTCAGAAAACTAAGCCATAAATAAACGAATCAAATCTTTCCGATAAGGTTGTCATGTCAGTACACGCATAAACCACGAATTTACGGTTAAACATAGAAGCTTGTTTGTCCTAACATTTTTTTTGGTCATTAGCAGTACTATTATAAAATCAAGAAGACTTTTCGTGATTAATTTACTAACTTATTTATAATGATGAGCAAAGCAAAAAAGAAGAAACCAGGAGTAATAAGGGGAAGAGGAACTCTTGATGAGGAGATACTCACTGATACTCACTAGCGGTGACTGGCCCTATTCAGGCAGTTAGTAACCTGGGGTTCTTGTGGGAAACCGTGAACAGTAAAGTACATCAGTACTCATCGAAGAAGGCATTGCTAAGTGGTCGCTGTATGTTCGTTAATTGGCAGAAGTAGGAATCCATGTACTGGCCATTGCATTGGCGGGTCCCAGTGGTTTAATGGTCTACGAGCTAACTCGCCTTGTAACCAGAAGGTTCTGGGGTCGAACCCCAGCGGGTGGGTACGTACTGATGAAGAGTCTCAAACTAGCACTCCCAGTAGCCTGGCTGTCCGATGGTTCTCTAAATGATGTCAGCTCATGATGAAATCCCCCAACTAATCAAACAAAAAAAATCCCTACAAAACCAATAACAGAAGAAGAATCACCAGTCGGAGTTTGACCACGGTATGGATAGCGTCTGAACATGTTCTTTTTGGATACAAAGTTCCAGTTTAGTCGATCTTATTGCAACAGCTTCAGCTATGTGTATGAGATGTATTATTATTATTGTATCCTTTAGTTCCTAGAGGAACATAGGGCTTCAGCTGCGCACCTCCATTGACTTCGGTTTTCTGACAACTTTTTCACCCTGCTCCAGGTCTGCCCACATGCTTTCATCTCCTCTTCACATGAGATGTGAGCGAACTGTATGTGATAATGAATTCGGAATTTCGTATATAACTATGAAGAGTGTGTTGGTGTCGATGTGATGTCCAGTATCGAGCATGTGTGACAGAATCGAGCTTTATACGAATTTAATTTCCCCTCTCCCCCTTGCTGAACCAATCTGGTAAAAGTTTTCAAACTCGTAGGTGAACCTATCTTACCATTTCAACTGTTCCTATGGTTCAAGTTATATAGGGCGTACGATTACGCAGGTTCGTCTACAAGTTTGCGAAAATTCACCAGATTGGTTCAGCGAATGCGGGGAGGGGAGAAATCAAATGCAGAAAAAGCTCGATTCTGTCACACATGGTCGATATTGGATATCGTATCGAGGCCAACACAGTCTTCAGGGTTTTATATATATATATATATATATATATATACCGAATTCCGAAGTCGTTATCACGTACAATTTGCTCATGTCTCCTACACATAGCTGTAGCTGTTGCAATTAGTGATCAAGTAAACCGGAACTTCGTATCCAAAAAGAACACGTTGAAATGCTGTTCCTACCGTGGCTGAACTTGGATCACAGGTTCTTCTTCTCACCAAGAGTGCCTCTTCCCCTTATCCCCCCCTCCCCCATCTTGGTTACTTTTTCTTCTTTTGCCTTGCTTATTATAACAATCATTGTTATTATTATTATTCGTTATAATTTATACCCTTCATTAGGTATATCTATTCACGACCAACATCTGTTATACTCTGGTATTGAACTGTTAGATCAAACAGTATTATCTACGGCAAACATCGGTCATGGAGCATTGTTACGTCTAATTGTCAAATTAAGAACTGGTCCACTAGCGATCACAAATCATTCATGTAAAACTTCTACACCAACAATCAATCAAAATGGGCATAATAATAATAACAACAATAATAATATTGGATTTATACCATGTATACCTAACACTGATCACATTGAAGAATCACAATGGCTTTCCACATTGTTATCATCACCGCTGTCACAAGTAGCCACATCTACCTCTGCATCGACTATCTTCTTACCATCGATATATTTACCACCAGGAGTTGATGTTAACAATCTACCAATAAGTGATAAATCAGAACCAACTTCAAATTATACACTAACTGAATGCTACAATAATTCTGACAATGGTGAAAATGTCAATTATGAGGCATACGATGATGAAATTTGTCAAATAGCTGAATTTCTTGGTTATGCAATCGATGAAACAGAACAATATCATCATTCATTTATTGAATATCCTGTTGTATTAAATGAAAATCAAATGGCCAATATTCAAAATGATAGCAGTGATGATCCAAATGACCTTGACTATTGTCATCTTAATCAACAAGAACAACAACAGTTCAAATGTTCAATAGCATTGAGTGGTGTAAGTTTCTGTTATTACTTTTTACGTGAATTAACTAGAGTGTAGTGTTAAGATTTTGTGGTCTAGTGGATAGTTTTTTGACTTTTCAAATGATGAGTGGTTGGTTCGATGATTAATGGGATTTACGGGCAAATCTCCAGATGATCAGCCCCAAATAGGACGGAATAAACATCATGGATCCCATGGCCAGTCGTCTTGCAATAAATTACACTAATTACTGTTGTTGAGCCCTCGTCGACGCACACTTGATATCTATGGTCGGCCTGTGAAATTTGGGCTACCGATATCCACGCTGAAAACTCCATACTTCTACCAAAAGTACGGTGTGGGGGTCAAGCTGTAATCAAAAATAAAAATAAAAAAATAAAAATAAAATAAAATTTTGATAGAAATAAAAACTTTAAAACAATTAGCTCCCTTTATGAATTTAGATAAGGTAATAAGAAGACGTAATTTGTCTGAATCGTGTAATGTATTTGCGCAATACATTTCAGTAGAATCCAACGAATATGCGCACTGAAGACAGACACACTTGATAATGAAGAAGAAAGAAAGTTGACAAAGACTCTGGTTGATAACAAATATCCAGACAAGTTCATCATCAGGAGATATAAAGTGGTCAGTGGAACACAAAGACCCACTCTCCAACTCGCCCCTAAGAAAGACGTGTACATCAAGCTACCTACCCTACATGGGGCGTCATAACAGCTTGATAACTAGACAAAGACTGAACGCGGCTGTTAAAAAGACTTTTTGTGCAGCTAATATCATAGTGATAATAGAGAATGTAAAGCCATTATATCTATCTAAGCCCTTTGAACATGCGAAAAATGACGTCACATCCCACTGTACTTACCAATTTGAATGTAAGGGTGGTCACGCACTCTCACATAGGGAGGACTTATCGATCTCTGTAAGTAAGGGTTGGCTTCAGAGCATATTCCTATATGGCTCCAGAAACAAATGGATTCTTCAGAACCTATTGACGGTGAGAACAGAAGACCTAGCTCTTCTATTGCGAAACATATTATAGAGACAGGACATAAAATTGACGTTAACAGATCTTATAAAACGTGTTTGGGGCGTATCCTAAAGTTTGTGGAAGCCCTAGCTAGCAATCAGAAAGTTTAAACCACATTTATGCGTTCAAAGTAACAATTCGTCATCACATTAAACCTTCCTTGGTAAATTTTGTTTTGATACCATAGCAGATGTCCTAATACCTCTGTTATTTGGTTTAGTGGTCTTCATTGTTATTTTGACCTTCAATATGTCCTTTTAACTTGACTCAAGTGTATTTTCTCACCCCTTAGCTCTTTATTAATTTCATATGTACATATTCCTATGACAAGTCCGTGTGTGATCAGATTGTTCGAAATGTGTTGCACAAATACAGCATTACACGCACGATTCAGACAAATTACGTCTTCTTATTGCTTCATCTAAAGTAATAAAAACACGAGCCACTCAGTGATGTCATTCTCATCATATGTATTATCATTTCTTTGGGTTCTGAATGGAACAGGGGGCTTCAACAACACTTCCCCACATTTTCTATTTTCTGCTGTCCTCTTCAGCTGGCTGGGGCCACGATTTTTTTTTGATTTTACAGCTTGATTCCATTCTGTATTTTTGGTACAAGTATGGAATTTTCAGCATGGATATCGGTAGCCCAAATTTTGCAGGCCGAACATAGATATCAAGTGTGCGTCGGCGTGGGCTCGAACCCCGGACCATGTGCATGGCCGGCGAGAGTCCTAACCACTGTGCCACCGACGCCCATAATCGCGCATCTCCTCGTCCTCCCCAACACACAATCTCCTCCATGTCATCCTCACACTCACGACCCACTCGTCGCTCGCTTCCCATTAGGATTACACTTGAATGATGGCCTACATTGAGTGTGATATCATTAGACGGTCTCCTCAGTGGCGTATGCCCAGTCTGTCTCCATTTATCTCCTAGATATTTGTTGAGCAACTGGCTGATCGTCGGTTCATTCATCGCCATGGGGTCGCCAATATCCTGGGTTGTGGCAGACATATTCATGGATAGGTGGGAATAAAACTTAGCGATTGAAACGTTCAGCCCCGCCCCAAAAGTATAATAATAGTGATTAACTTTATTCCAAAAAACACAGTACTCATAATACAGAATGGAATTCTCAGCATTTGTCACCATGTTGCATCTGATTTACTCAGAATATAAATAAAATTAAAAATTAAAACAAAATTAACAAGAGGAATTTGTCCACGTTTACGATATAAAGTCAAAAATATTCGAAGCACGAAATGAGATCATTAAATATAATAATAAGAATAACAGTGAGTTTGTTTCATACAGTATTGTCGATTCAGTTTGGAAATTGCAGCATGTTATCATAGATTATTGAATCTAATGTTCTGTTGATGTAGTATAGTGAGGGAAAACACAAGATCAACAGTGGTAACACAGTTTAAACGATGTTCACACTTATGAAAAATAAATAAATAAATAAAAACAAAAAATTGAGAGGATTATAAATATAAGAAATACAATAACAATAAAGGTTGATGCTGTAAGGGGGGGGGGGAAATGGTTTATTTACTAGTGCAAATAAGGTTAGTTAGTTAGTTCATGCCTAACGCTATTTTCATCACATAAAATACTTGCCGTTAAATAAGGTATAGTGGAATTTTTATACTTAGACGTATGTGCATAAAGTCTTTTGAAAAGACTTCTTGTTTTACCTGAAGAGGAGACATAAGGTTGGAGCTGCGGGTAGATTGGGTGCTCAGAGTCTGACAAAATTCCTTTAGCAAATTTTTTGTATGACATCAAGTGCCTATCCGTGACAATGTCAACGGTATGACCCAATGGGATACCACTCGTCCCACTGACAGTCTTCAGACTTCTACAAAGTATGACATAGTCTTTTTTAAGCAATCCAGGAAAGAATAAGCAAGGGTGAACAGTAAAGAAGAATAGGTAAAATACGCGAGTTGACAAACTGTAAGAGGAGGGGTTACGTGAAGGTATGCACATTCACTGTATTTAGAACACAGGATATAAGTAGACTTTTCGAACACATCAACTCGTAGGGTGAGGCGATTCAATTCACTTATGAATTGGAAGGTCAGGAAAGGGAGCTTCGAATGTTAGACTGTAGCGTAAAAAGGAAAAAAGACTGGAAGTTAAGCACTAGTGTTTACAGAAAACCCACACATTCAAACAGATACTTGGATTTCCGTTTATCCTATCCACCCTGTGTCAGTAAAAATCGGATTGGTGAAATGTTTAAGTAATAGAACACAAAATCCAAGCAATACCAAGGAAAACCTAAGATGGGAAGTGAGGCATATAAGAGAAGCTTTGGAACTTAATAATTCCCCTGATAAATTTATCAGAAAGTATGTAGGGAAATGTAAAAATAAAATAAACAATAATAGTGGTAGTGATAATAATAATAATATTGATGACAACATGCATGTCAAATATCAGAAGGATAATGACAACACCAACAATAAGGGAAACCATCGGTAGTACTTCCATACAAAGAAGGAACCTCAGAAACCACATTACGGAGAATTCTTAACAATACAGGTAGGAATAAAAGTGGCTGGCATTCAAACTACCCACAAACTCAATTAGAAACAGTCTTTATCTGTTAAAGGATCCTGTGGAGCCAGTTGAGCAAAACAATTTAGTTTATCTAATACCCTGCTGAAATGACTGTCAGGTCGTATACATAGGTCAAAGTAGTAGAACAGGTGCAGTCAGACTAGCCCAGCATAAAAACCTAGGAGCAAAATCTAGATTAGTTGACCTGAATAAGATAAGAAATGTGGAGAATAGTTAGTTCAGCTATAGTACTCACTGCATGGAATTAAACACAACCGTGCAATAGGATGGGATAGGATGACAGTTTTAAAACCTAATATGACTGGGTGGAGGGAGAGATTGATAACGGAAGCTTTGTTTATCGAATCAACTGCAAACACCTGTCTCAGATATCTGGAAAATTCCACTACCCCTACGACGACAAATAGGAGAGAACAAAGAAAACTATGGAACTCAAGTTTCGAAGTCGTGTGATTATAATTGACGATGTGATTATGAACAGTAATAAATTGTGTTCGAAACTTTGTCATCCAGTAAATAATAATACTGTTTCACTGTATGATACATCTAATAAACAAACTAATATGGAATTGCTTACTACCACAGTACCAAAGTTTTACACATATATTAATTAAATATTGATAATATTGATCACCCTCCACTAATGAATCATTGTGAATACTAGTTAGTTCTTATGTACATACATTAAATACTTATTGTGATTTTTACAAATTTTCAGAATTTCCCACAATATCTAACAATACTGAATTCTGATTTCCACAATTCTTCTGAAAATATGCATCCAGCGAATACTTCTAAATGCCTTCATGGATTCAAGGCTATTGAAGTACCATCATCTGAACGTTGTCAGTCAGCTAGTTCACTGCTTACATCCACTCCAGCTATGGATACTGTCGCCTTGAATTTATCTTCATCACTATGTCAGCTAAAGTGTAATAATTCACACTCGAGTTTAAGAGAAACATGTTCATCTTCACTTGATGTGAATTGTACTCATCATTCTTTTTCATCATCACCGGTTACTACTGTTGATAATGAATTCAAAGAGAAGAATGTATACATTAGTGATAACCTATTGAAGGATCATTGTTCCAGTTCAGATGATCCGATAGCCAATACCAAATCCGTCTTAGAAACTTCCTGTGTTACTGCTGTCGTTAGTGGTGGTTTGAATAAGTTACAGAGTTATTCGTCAACAATTCCAGCCGCTAATTATCCCTTCTGTTTTGATGGCATGATGAAGGCGGAGAATGGTGTCAATGGATGGGTTAGTTCACCTTCGTTAACAACCAACAGTGATTCATCGGTGGTGAATGCTTCATTCAACTCATTATCAATGAATAGTAAACGTTGTGATAATAAAAATACTGAACAGCTATGCAATCCAATTATATTGGATAGTGCTGTGACAAAAATACAACATAAGTGAGTCTACATTTTCAATAATTGGATTTTTCCATTATGGGTAAATTTTGTTTTGATAAAGTCTCACGGTGTTATGCAGTAATGTTTGCTGATGACCACGTTTCGAGCACAATTTATTATTGCCGCTCATAATCATATCAAGGTAATCACACGACTTCCTAACTTCATTTATATAGTTCCATTATTTTTCACTTGATTTTCGCTTGATTTTACTGGTAATAGTATTTTCCATATTTCGGGTATGAGTGATGAATCATTCCTATTGCATGTGTTGTGTCGGGTGTAGACTCGATGAACCAGGTAGGATTCACTAATCAACCTCTCTCTCCACCTACCTATATTACTTCTTAGAATTTTAACCCTCTCCCGCCATGCTATTGTGTGATTGTGTGTTAATGCGTGCAGTGCAGTGCAATCACTGAGCTTTTTTCTAAATTACTTATCTTCGCGAGTGGGGTCAACCATTCTTACAATAGCTAAATTCTTATGTTCCGACAATCTGACTACCCCCGACTTACTAGTTTGACCTATGTAGTTGACCTCACTCACAGTCATTCCATGGTATTTTGTAAATTATATTATTTTGTCTAATTGGGTCAACTGGGTCCTTTAACCCACAGAGCTTGTCCTACCTGAGTGAGTTTGTAGGTTTGAATGCCGCCACCCTAATTCCTGCTTTATTAAGAATTCTACGTATGGTCACGTCTCAGGTGTCTCCTCCTTATACGGCATAACAGTAGATGACTTATTTATGTAATAACATAATAATAATAATGACATCATCTATCTGCAAATTGTATCCGCCTACGCAAAGTCTGTAGTGATTGGTTGTTGAGTTAGTCTTTGTTCTGATTGTTCTCATGACCAATATTTGGGACATAAACACTGACGTGAATTACTGTCTACCAATTTGGCTAGCAGCCAGCTCTCACCACAATATCAGATAGTTTCAATAATGATCAACTTTAAAACAATTAGTTCCGTTTATGAATTTAGACAAAGCAATGAGATGTAATTTGTCTGAATCGTGTATTGTGTAATTGCGTAACAATTATTTGAACAGTGTGATCATACACGTACTTGTCATAGGAATATGTACATATGAAATTAATAAAGAGCTAAGAGGTGAGGAAATACACTTGAGTCAAGTTAAAAGGACATATTGAAGGTCAAAATAACAATGAAGATCAATCACTAAACCAAATAACAGAGGTAATAGTACATCTACCCTGACTGGTATCAAAACAAAGTTTACGAGGGAAGTTTTATTGTGATGACGAATTATTGCTTTGATCGCATAAAGGTAGTTTAAACTTCCTAACAAAACTTTAGGATTTATCCCAAATGAGTTTATGGATAGTTTGAAAGGAGGTGTAAACATAAATTTTACTTCCTGTCTGTAGAATATGTTTCGCAATAGAGGAGCTAGGTCGTCTTTTCTCACCATTAATGGGCTCTATGGATTGAATTTGTTTCTGAAGACCTTACTTGCAGAGATAGATGAGTCCTCCATTCTATGTATGTGTGTCCACACATACATTTAATTTGATAGATGCAGTGGGATGTTACATCCCTTTCTGCATGTTCAAAGGGCTTAGATAGACATAATGGCTTTACATCCTCTATTATCACTATGATATTAGCTGCATAAAAAGTCTTTTTAACAGCCGCGTTCAGTCTTTGTCTAGTTATCAAGCTGCTTTGATGCCCCATATAGGGTAGGTAGCTTGATGTACACGTCTTTCTTAGGGGCGAGTTGGAGAGTGGGTGTTGGTGTTCCACTGACTACTTTATATCTCCTGATGATGAACTTGTCTGGATAATTGTTATCAATCAGAGTCTGTGTCAACTTTCTTTCTTCTTCATTATCAAGTGTGTCTGTCTTTAGTGCGCATATTCGTTAAATCCTACTGAAGAGGCACCTAGCTGACTAAGTCTCTTTTGTACCGAAAATTACAAAACACAATTGAAGAAATCCTAATAATCACCGTTTTGCATTCATTATTATTTTTGACAGCACAATTTGTGAACAATCAGGTAATCAAACCCACCGCACATCAATTCCAAAATATCATCATCCTAGTTCCACCAGTCATGAGTCTGTTGCTAATGACTGTGTACTAAAGGATAATGGTAGTCATTTAGTTGATCGACAAAGTGGTTTCAATTCAAATTCCAATAATCTTCAGGGACTATCTCCTTCATCTTCATCATCGGATCTTACATCTTCTCCTTCTGAATGTTCTTCTTCTCCTTCCACCTCCTCGTGTACAACACTGACACATTCGAACAGATCCAGGTGTTATGAGTGCAATAGACGAACACGACTAGCCTGTGGCTTCAGTTGCCGGTGAGTTCGATATTTATTAATTTGAAAAATAAGCATGTCTTTGTTTAATGAATGCACAACTAATAATAATAATAATAATTTGCTTTATTCCAAAACAATACTTGTGATACAGAATGGAATTCTCAGCATTTTACTACAGTATTGCATCCAGTTAGTAAATTAACAATAAAATAAAATTCTACATAGATTAAGGGTAATCTCAGTTCATTATGACAACAACATATTGGCATGTCGGTAGCAAAGTCAGAAATTGAACAGAGTGTTTGATGGTGTTCGAAAAGTAGGTGCTAGCATATTTACTGGAGTAAGCAGAAGAAAGAAACAAAGCAGCACATAACAGAGAGAAAAAGAGAGAAAACGTTGTGCCTATAGACGATATGAGTTGGAAAGACGAGATCCAGTTGTTCTACTGACTATTTAATGAGTTATAGGTTTCACACCTAATGCTTTCTTTATCACACAAACGACGAGCTAAGTAGGGTATGGTTGAGTTTTTGTACTTACTAGTGCGAGCATATATAGTTTTCTATATAGGCTTTTGGTCTGGTCTGGCCTGATGAGATACAAGGGGAGAGTTGTGAATGAAGAGAGTGGTGTGTGTCAGATAAAATGGATTTAGCCCATTTTTCACATGAGTCCAAGTACCTGTTGACTAGAATATTGACAAGCTGGTTAAGTGGCACGTTGCTTACCCTGCTGACAACCTTTAACATCCTGCGTAATAAGGTATAGTCTTTCTTCAGTAGCCCAGGAAAAACTAAGGGGGGAACAATGGAGAATAATAGGCAGAATGCGAGAGTTAACGAATTGTAGGAGTAAGGGTTGGGTTATACCAGAACGTCTAGAAGGTTTCGTTGGAGAATGGATGGCGGGGTACAGAATGTGAAAAGTTATATATGGATTCAAACCATGTAACTTCAAAGCAACAAATAGTCTAGTCTTTGAGATGTACACTTCAGTACTGAGTTCTTTGAACTCTCCAGTTGTTTTCAAGCCTTAGTTTGCAGAGATTTAATTGGTTACTGGTATGGTCACAAGCAAACTTGAGATAAAGGACCATTGAAAACCAGCACTGGAGTACTGGATAGCTGTTTCATCCTAGTTTGGGAATGTTCGGCAGTACGCGCACCCAAAGTGGTCTGAAACCAGGACCCTCAGGTACAAGGTAATTTCATGGACTATTCAGCTGTTTGGACCCGATCCAATGGCCGATGAGTTCCTGCTTCTGCGAATTCTCGATATCTATATATAGCACAACCACTAGCCTAAGTTATCAGAGGGTAACTGCTATCTTACCATACTTAATGGATCCCACTGGTCACGCCGCCTGACTTGAACTCCAAGCAACTTCCTGTGAACAGACAATCGCTAATGAGGATCAGACTAGTTTTCGGGTGTAAGTTTCCGAGGATTTAATTGGTTTTAGATTTGATGAACAGCTGACATCAGGTAGAGAAACCCGGTGAATGCATACTAATGAAGAGTCTTTCACTAGGACGAAACAGCTGGTCAGTAATCCCTAGTTTACCAACGATTCTTTAACTGATGTCAGCTCGTGGTTGAGCCTGTAACTATAGTCCTCTTATTGTTCTGTTTGTGTAAGATGCATATAGAAAACCATATAGTGGAACATAGTCAATTTATAAGTGGAGAGAGCTATATGGGGCGAAAAACTAGACAGCTTAACAAACGCATTAATGAGCATCTTCCTTCATGATTCGGAAAAGGTCAAATAAAATCCATACGAAGTTATGTTTTGGCTCATTTGATTGATATTGGTCACCAAGTGAACGAAAATAGTGCCTTCAAAGTTATCTATCGCATTCCATAGAGTCTTTTGAAAGGAATCAGAACCCGTCTTTTACACTTAGCCGAAGCTATGGGAATTAATTCGAGAGAACAATCCTAGTCTTTGCATACAGGAAAAGAAGTTTGTTCTTCCTTTGTCTCTCCCTTGCTCCGCCTAGGTGAATTCTATTCAAAACCCTCCCACCCTTTCTTATCTTCCATCTCCTTCGTACTTTTATGATATTGATTTAAACTCTGATTATATGTCCACTTCACCTTTTAAGATTTCAAATAAAAGCCAATCTGAAAGAAGAATATTCTTTTCAACAATTTCTCCTCTTCAGGTTCTTACAATTATAAAATATAATATTTGTCGTCGTTACAACAATGGTCAGTAATGCGGCGGATACATTTTTAACGTAGGATAACAGATTAGCAGTTATGGGGTGTCAAAATAAATAGTCGTATTTGTGTGACAAACGTTCTAGGCTGAAATCGATTACAAAATATTTCGGTGAAATGGGAGACAGTGGTGATGAGTAGTCATCATAGATTCGTAAAATGTGGGTAGGGGTAGGAAAACTGACAAGACGGTTCAAGGTTATAAAAGGTGTCAGGTGAGTCAGTGGCTAGTACAAAGTGGTATGTATTAAACAGGAGATAGTAAGACGAATATGTTAAATGAAACAGGTGGAGGCATATATCGAGAAAACAGATAATATCACTAATAATAAGTCCGTATAAATGGAAAATTCGATGGTATTGAGAGAATGTTTGCATGAAGGGTATAAATTATGACGAATAATAATAATATTTGTAATAATTTGACTTATAATTCATAATATGGGAATATTTCACACTACCAAATTTTAAGATTTGACCTCATTTATTTATTTATTTATTGAATTGTCTACATATATACATATACTACCTTTGTTATTCTTATCACTTGCATAAACCTTATTATCAATATTTTGTTATCCACGTTCCCCAGTGGAACATAGGGCTTCAAGCTAGTGGCTTGAAGTTTCTGTAGCAGTGTTTTTAATTTTACAGGATGGGGTTGCTAGCCTCATGACCAACCTTCCCTCTCTACCAGCATTATTTATGGCTTGACGAGGTAAAGGAGTGAGTCCGTGGCCAGGGGTCGAACTCCGGACCGTGTCCATGGTCGGCGAGCGTCCTGACGGCTATGCCACCGTCGCACAAAATCGCCATGCTTCCGTCTCCCCGTATCATTATAATCATCGTTATTAATTTCGTTCAAAACATTTACCACGTTATTATTATTTGATCCACAAAATCACCGTCATTGGTTAAATTAATTTATGTATAAGTCTATGTAAATTAGAGTAAAGCCTGAAGAAGATCTAATTGGAAACAATAATATTGTTCGCTTATATGTCTGGTTCTAATATTCTAAATGGGAATATTTAAAGATTTAAAATTTAGAAGTGACCAGAAGATTTTGTAGATATTTCGCACAGTATGTCGCGAGCATTTTCTTCTTTTTTCCTCTGCTGGGAACCAATAAGAACTGATCCTCAATCAGTGTCTTCGATGAACATGTCTACTTCACCTAGACATGATAGACCTCAGTGTTTACAACTTATAGGTACAGTTTTAAGATATCCATTGAGTAGCCATTAATGAACTGTTGATTGATATTCAAATTATGGGGTTTAGACTAATTTCTGTTGTTAGATTTCCCTTATGAACCAACATCATTCTAATAAAAAATTGAAGATAATAATTTGAAGAGTTGATTTGTAAGGATTTGATTTGTCTTTTTCAAGTTTAACCACCGATCGATATCAGTTAGAGAAGATTCAATTGTGTGAAATATTCCCATATCATGAATTAAAAGTCAATCTGAACGAAGAATATTCTTTTCAACAATTTCCCCTCTTCAAGTTCTTATAATTATAAAATATAATATTTGTTGTCGTTACAACAATGGTCAGTAATGCGGCGGATACATTTTTTAACGTAGAATAACAGATTAGTTATGGGGTGTCGCTTACGTCTGCTACACTTAGCTGAAGCTGTTGTAATAAGATCGACTAAACCGGAACTTTGTATCCAAAATGAACACATTGAAACGCTGTTCCTACCGTGGTCAAACTTGGATTGGTGATTCTTCTTCTCGCCAAGAATGCTTCTTCTCCTTAACCCTCTTGGTTTATTTTTTCTTTCTTTGCTTATTATTATAATTATTATTATTATAGTTGGTGATAATTTATGCCCTTCATTCAAACATTCTCTCAATACTATCGAATTTTCCGTTTATACTATCCGGAATAATTATTAGTAGTGATATTATCTCTTTTCTCACTATATGCCTCCAACTGTTTCAATTGACACGTTCGTTATTTCATGACCTTCTTATTGCAGTTTTACTATCTCCACCTCTTTAATACATACCAATTTGGACTAGCCTGACTCACCTGACACTTTTTACAGCCTTGAACTGACTTGTAAATTTTTCCTACTTCACACTCTACAAATCTATTATGACGACTAATCACCACCATTGTCTCCCATTTCACCGAAATATTTTGTAATCGATTTCAGCCTAGCACGACGACGTTTGTTACACAGATGCGACTATTTATTTTGTCACGTACTAATACGTACTAATCTGTTATTCTGCGTTAATAAATGTGACCACCGGACAAATGGCCATTACTGTAACGACAACAAATATTGTTCTATTTTATAATTGTAAGAACCTGAAGAGAAATTACTGGAAGGAATATTCTTCATTCAGATTGACTTTTAGTTAGAGAAGCATTGAATAATTTCCGAAAATAGAAATGTTACCTATGTATTATTGATTTAATTATAAAAATTGGGCACTGTGGTGGTACAGTATAACTCCATTATGGATAAGATTTTATTTTGATAAACCACGCAATGTGGTTATACAGTAATATTAACTGATGACCATGTTTCAAGTACAAATTATTGCCACTCATAATCATATCAAGTCAGTCACTCACACAACTTTCTTGCTTTATTTATATGCATGAGTAAAAGTTGATGATTAGACAATTGAATAAAAATCAATATAGGATAATGTACATTCAGAAATAATAATATGAGTGTTATCAATCAAGTGCAATCAGATGGGGAATAAGACGAGTGTTTCTTATAGTCAAAATAAGTAACTTGTTAGCATGTTATGATGTGCTTGAATTGAAATCGAATACAATTTAAGATTATTTATTATCCTCCTCTGATTTGACTGGCTGACTGATGGTAATAATATCTTCCATATTTTTGGTATTAGCGTTGAGTCACTTCTATTGCGTATGTGTTAGGCGTAGACTCGATGAACCAGACAGGATTCAATAATCAACCTCTCTCTCCACCTACCTATATTACACAACCACAGGGTGGGACAAAGTCAAAATTCTAAAAAGTAATATAGGTAGGTGGAGAGCGAGAGAGAGGGAGGGTGATTACAGAATTCTGTCTGGTCCATCGAATCCACACCCAACACAACACATGCAACAGAAATGACTCAATGCAAATACCAGAGATATGCATGGAAGATATTATTACCACCAGTCAGTCAGTCAGTCAGTCAAATCAGAGGAGGATAATAAATCATCTTAAAATTCTGTTTCAATTCAAGCACATCACAGCATTCTAATAAGTAACTTATTTTGACTATAAAAACATTCGTCTTATTTCCCATCTGATTGTATTTGGTTGATTGATAACACTCATATTATTATTTCTGCTTGTACATTACCCTATATTGATTTTATTCAAATGTCTAATCAATTTCTCTCATGTTTATAAATGAAGCAAAAGGTTACGTGAGTAGTGTCTTGATATGATTATTTATTTTATTTTTTATTATTTTTGATTTCAGCTTGATTCCACACCCAATTTTTTAGTACACGTATGAGATTTTCAGCATGTGATATCGGTAGCCCAAATTTTTCAGGCCGACCATAGATATCAGGTATGCGTCGGCAGGGGATTGAACCCCAGACCAAGTGCATGGTCGGAGAGAGTCCTAACTACTGTGCCACCGACGCCCAACCAGGAAACCGAAATTCCACCTACTATGTGGACAGCTTTAACTGAGGGCACATGACTTCATGAACTGATGATATGTCTTGTACCTCAGTGCCTTTAGAGCCTTCTCTCAAATGAGTTTCACTTATGCAAACTTTAGTTGCCATGGTAACTATAAACTCGAGGAATTATATATATACTGGTCATTTCAATCAGTGGATCTTCGATGACTTCAGCCAGACAGTTTACACCTCCCCACGTAGCCCAACTCTTTTCCAACTTATCATATGTCAGACGAGGAAGGACACGAGGTGCGATCTGTAACATTTGATTAGATATCTCAATAGATGCACCTTCACAACTTCATCAATTGAATTCTTCACCTTACCTAGTACTCAGTATTACCCACTAAATTGTACTGTAAGGGCGGAAGACAAGGGTTAGGCAATAGGTCGTTTATTGAGAAAATCAACAGATATTTATAGATTTTTGTGTACATTATTATTACCGTTATTGTTAACAGAGAAACAACGTCTTCTTATTGGTTGTTTTCTTGCTGAAGGTTATTCTGTTCGGCTTGTGACCGTTACTTACAAGGTTATGCATATATCTGCGAATCGTATTTGCACACGCTAAGTCTGCTGTGATTGGTTGTTGAGTCCCTCAAGGTTAAGCTTTGTTCTTGTCTTTTTTCTCATGACCCCGATTTGGGACGTAAACATTGACGTAAATTGTTGTTTACAAGTTTGGCTTACTCGCAGACAGCTCTCACCACAGTACCACTTAACGAAGAGGAAAGGGAGAGTTTATCTCTTATACTTTCAACGGTCATATCTCCTCATAGGTATTAAGGAGGACAAAGAGAACTGCTGTGAAGTACACATGGCCTATAATCGACAGCTGGATTTCACCTATACACCGAAGGACAAGAAGGTTGATAAATACCACACAACCTTCTTGTACCTGTGTTTAAATCTGATCGGTAATCAACCAGCTCAACTACCTATACACTCTCGATCATCTTTAAACAACAAGAAGTCGGTACAGAATTCTGATTCGAGTATTAAAAAAAGGGAAGAAGAAGAAGTAATAGATTATTATTTTTATTATTATATCCTTTAATTCCTAGAAGAACATAGGGCTCCAGCTGCGCGTCTCCATTGCCTTCTCTTTTCTGCCAACTTTTTCACCCCGCTCCAAGTCTGCCCACATGCTTTCATCTCCTCTTCACATCACCTCATCCAAGTCACCCTCCCACTGACGACCAACTCGCCGCTTTCCTTTCGGGTTCGACTCCAGCAATGGCTTGTCTAGTGATGTCACTTGGTGGTTTCCTCAGAGTATCGCCAGCCAATCCATCTCCATTTCTTCCTGCCTATTTGTTTCTCAATCGGTTCCTGGTTGGTTCGCCCATTCCCAGAGATCCCACCCTGTTGCTGATCTTTTCTGGCCGGCCATCTAATTTTCAGTATTGAGCGAAGACGGTTGTTAATGAAGGTCTGTAGTATGTTTGAGATGCTCTTTATGACACGCTGGTCAAGTCTCTGATCCGTATAGTAAGTAGCACTGATTTCACATTGGAGTTGAAAATCCGGATCTTATTTTTGATACTGAGTGTTGTTGACCTCCACACAGACTTAAGAGTAATGAAAGCTTGTCTTGCTTTTCCGATTCCGGCTTTGATATCCTCGTCAGTCCCGTTCACCTGTAGTTGAAACGATGCTTCCCAGGTAAGTGGGTAGGTAAAGGAGGTTGTTACTTTTAGGTTCCTCCCATTTATCCTGATTGTTGTCTGTTGTAGTTGCTGTTGACCAGGAATCTTCACCTCTGTTTTATCTATGTTCACCTGAAGGAAGTCCTATCTTCACTGGATGCTTCTTCTGCCAGCTTGTTGCTTTTCACTTGCATATCTTCCAGTTTGTGGGAAATCAGACATATATCATCGGCGAAGTCCAGATCCTCCAACAATATATACAATTACAGATATGAGTTAGTGTTAAAAGGTCACAAAATGTCAATCAGTTTGTTATAGGTATTAGTAGTCAACAAGATTATATCCACAGGATTAGTGTTCGAAAGTAAACGGATTGCAATGATTTCCAGAACTTCGTGGTAAGAAACAACAGAGAAATGAGAGTTTTATGTATCTAAGCAAAATGTAGCGCACTAATCGAATAGCGCGCTCAGTACCGAAGTAATACATTACTGTTTGTGAATTTACAGTAATAAATTGTGCTCAAAACGTGGTCGCATCAGTTAATATTGCTGTGCATAACACTACACTGTGTGACACTTTATCAAAATAAAATTTTATTCATAATGGAGTTATACACACACCTACTTTCTTAACGCTTGATTTCACCTGTCTCTTTCTCTATTTTTGTTTGTTTTGTAGTTGTGAACGATGGTTTTGTGCAAGACATCATCATCCAGAAGATCATCAGTGTAATTTCAACTTTAAAACTATGGTGAATTCAGCTTAAAATATGGCTCTTCTTCTTTTTATCAATATATACGATACATACTACTGAATTCGTCGATGATATTTTTTCATTTTATGCCTGTTACTCTTATGTAGGCTAATTAATTTAACTGTGAGATTACTTTTTTTTTTAAAAATAGGGAACTTTTGTTACCAGCTGAGATTTTATGATGTCTCTGTATATTTGGTTGTTTTGTACAAATGTTCTTCCTATTCACATCCTCATTGTGACGATGATTTTTGGTTATTTCTAGTCTAGTTAGTTGACAATTCTGGGCTTATTCCGCGGCTTGTTAGTGTTTCTAGAATGCTTTTTACTCCAGGCTTTTCTTGTCTTCCTCCTCATGAAGTTGAAACAGTAACGCAACTCAACTGCTTCTACTAATCCTACAACAAACAAATCTAAAACATGAAGGTCATCGGTATGAAGTAATTGTTGAGTAGTTTTAAACAAACACTCATTTCAACATTTCTTAATTCTATCTTTTTTTCTATAGTCATTAACCTGACAATTTTTGTTATCTTTTTCTACGTGTACTCCATAGAATGCCAACAGCACACCCAGTTGGCGAGATGGTGGGGGTGATATGGGGGTCGGTGGCGGAGAACGTCTCACCACCTCTATTAAATCTCCAAAGCTTGAAACCCTGTGTTGCCCCCCTCCCCCAACTAGATTATTTTACGCTTGCACAACGTGTATTGTCGGCTTGACATTGGTTGGATAATCAAACGATCAACTTCGCTGTTTAACTCTCTAGAATACCCTCGCGATCATCTTCAATTACATTACGCAGTGTATCTAAATAAGCCGAAGTTGGAATTGCTGAGCTATTGGATCAGGTCCCGGTACAGGTGTATGGCCTACAAGCTCACTTTGTAAACGAAAAGTCCTGGTTGGATATGTGCTACTGAACAACCCCCCCCCACAACCACCACCTCAAACAACTGTCAAATACGTCCAGCTGGTTTTCCAATAAAAATAGTTCCACATGTGCTTTCTTTGTCAGTATTATTATTATTGTCGATGTTGTTGGACAGTTGTTTTACTCATGTAAATCTTTTTAAAACGAATTAGGATAGGCGAATTTGATTTTAATATTTACAACATTTACAGGGATTTCGCTGTGTTGTGATGTTTTTACTTTTTGTGTCTTCTTTCCTCTGTGTCTACATTTGCTTCCATAGTCAGCTGTGTTTACGTGCGTGTGTGTGTGTCTGTGTATACATGTGTATCAACCGTACATCCTTGAGCTACTTAAGAAAGGGCAATAAAAGGCGCCAGTAGGGTGAGTGGAGTGTGGCTAAGCTAAACCAACTCGTGAATACTGTTGTAGACACTGGACGCATGAACTCCTGCAAGAAATTAGCAAATATTATCTCGCCTTACTGTATCTCATCAGGTAGGTAGATCTAGAAGTAATTATAGAAGGCAGACTGTATGCTCGAACGCCTGAGCATACTGAGGAACTTTAAGTCAACAGCCCCATCTTGTTGTTGTTCTTTCATTGTTACACTGTCGTTAATATATTCACTTGATTTAATTTTTGTATTCACTTTCTTATGGAACAATATTTTTTAGTGTAAATGCCCTAGTTTACTAATTATTACCCTTGTAATGAGAAAGTTTGCAGGAATATTGTGCTACCTGCTGGAAAATTCCATATTTGTACGAAAAAGACATTATTATTATGAATTCACCGCTTATCAACTGCTTTCTGCTTCAGTGTGTTATGGCTTTATCGCTTTTTTCTCTTTGTATATTCTAGTTTGGTTTTTGTTACCGCAATTTATTGGTTAAGTGTTTTTATTCAACTTTATTTATAAATATATATTACTTAAATAGCGATTTCATTCATTATGTCTTCCTGTGTATGTATGTGTGTGTCGGTGGGTGGGTGAATGGGTGGCTTTGTTCCACGATGTGTAACATGGGACCTTAATTGTAACAGTAGCACATTACCTCCTACCAGCTAGTAAATTAGGGGGAGGAGGTTAGGCAGTGTGTTGCCCGGGAATCGAACCCTAAACCACCGAGAAAGTGATTACAACAGATCCTATAGTCTGAATATCAGTCGTCAGCTCATTGACAGCCAATTGATGGATTTCTAGAAGCTTCACTGGGAATTTGTCACCAGTGGGCTTCAACATGTCAAGATGAAGTAGATCCCCGTCGGAGGCGCTGTATCATGAGTCGACAAAATCAGGACTTTAGGCGTTACTGAATTCCACCAGTTCAAGTGTCTGGACGGTCAAAATGTTTGATCTCATAACCAGATCCCTGTTGCGTGTTGGCGTACATTGTTGAAGAGTCCCAAACTAGGACGAAACACCCAGTTCCAATGGTCTCTCTATCTCATGCTGGTTCATGACGAAAATTTAACTACTGAGATAGGAATAGAATGAAGTGGTCTTACCATTGAAACAAAATAATAATAATACAAGCGTGGCGTGTGCTACTGACAAAACTCTGTAAGTAGTATATGTATAATCTTAAAAATATTGAATGGTGGAAGGATGGATTTGATGTTGAAGAGAATAAGTGGAAGATTCTTGTTGGTGGACATCATGGAAAGGCATAGAAGGGGGTCAGAAGAAGCTCATTACGGAGGACATGTGCAAATGGTTATTTTAATATGGTTCTTCGTAGATTATTAATTTTATTCCAAGCGGAACATAGAGCTCCAAGGTAGGATTTTGAAGTCTCAGCGTCAGTGGTTTTATTTTCCTTCGGGGTGGGGTTGCTAGCCTCACTTACGACCTTCCCTCATTACTGCACTTACTGGGGGCTTAACGAGATTTAGAACTGCGTCCACACTGACCGCGGATCGATCCCCGTGCCACGTGCCGTGGTTGGCGAACGTTCTGCTACTGAACCACCCACGCAAGTTGTTTTTTTTCTATAAGGCCGTATATCTGGTTACCAATGACAACCATATTTCGCTACCAAATTCTACTATGTTCTGGTGTTACCCAAGTAAATTTAAGCTTCAGCTGTTGAATTCTATTAACTTGGCTTACTAAATAAAACAAGACTGACTGATAAAAGTTTTTGATTTCAGGACTGCTATTATTATTAATACTACAACGGTTTAGTCTTGGATTATTTTGCTGTTGACTTTCATAGAGGAGATGTGGTATATCGATTTGAGCACATGATTTCCCACTAAGCGGGTCCCGGGTTCGAATCATACCCTCCACCTTCCTCATTTCGGACAAGTGGTTAATAGTATTGTGACGGCAGAAGACTAGGTCAGGGCAACAAATCGTTTATTTAGGAAATCAACAAATATTTATAGATTTTCATGTACATTATTATAGTTTATTGTTAGCAAACAAACACAGTCTTCTGATTGGTGGTTTCTCGCTGAATGTTAATCTTTCATCTGTTTGTGGCTGTTTCTTGAAGTTCAGATTATCTATCTGCAAATTGTATCCGCCCACACAAAGTCCACTGTGTTTGGTTGTTGAGCCAGTCTTTGTTCTTATTTTTCTCATGACCAATATTAAGGACATAAGCATTGACGTCAATTACTGTCTACCAGTTTTGGCTAGCAGACAGCTCTCATCACAGTATTAGTTAGCTAGCCTTCAAATGCAATAAGCGTTTGGCTCAGAACCAGTCGCCTGGTATATGAGAAATTTGTTCTGGTTTGCTGATTTCAGCCTAGTGTAGCCAATAAGATCTGTTTGTCAGTGCAATATTACCAAGTGTTGGTTGTTACCGCTTACGCCAGTAAATATGCTAGCACCTACTTTTCGAACACCTTCAAACATTCTGTTCAATTTCTGACTGCTACCGATATGCCAATATGTTGTTGTCATAATGAACTGAGATTACCCATAATCTATGTAGAATTTGATTTATTGTTAATTTACTAACTGGATGCAATACTGTAGTGAAATGGTGAGAATTCCATTCTGTATCACAAATACTGTTTTAAAATAAAGCAAATTATTATTATTAGTAGTAGTGTAACAACAGAAAACAAGGGCCGGCAACAGATCGTTTTATTGCGGAAATCAACACGTATTTATATATATTTCACATACATTATTATAGCTTATTCAAGTAGACAAACGCAGGCTTCTGATTGGTTGTTTCGGGTCACCATCGAAAAGTGGAGCCATCTACCTGCGCATCATATTTGCCCACGTTAAGTTTTCTGTGATTGGTTGTTGAATCAGCCTTGCTCATATTTTCTCACGGCCAATATCAGTGACCTAGACATTGACGTAGATTAATGTCTACCAATTGACTAACAGCCTGCTGTCACCACAGTAGTAGTAACATCTTATTCTTAATCACGTCTTTATTGACTGCTTCTACCTATAATATAATTCGTGTAGGACACTTGTTCACATACTGTCCTATTTTTCTGAGTGTCCCTCATATTACGTAACCCTAGTAAACACTTATTAATCTTCAACCCTCCACCCTAGTTACAATTCAATTATTCACCATAGTTTTTGAAATATTCTCATAACCTAAACAATAATCCAGACTAATTTTTATATTCTTGTTTGACAAACCTAATGTATGCACATATACAAAAAAAGGAATTAAAAATATAATTGCAGTTGTCCAGGTGAATGAATGAATTCGTCGAACAGAGACTTTTCGTACCAGACAAATACTAATAAGTAACAACTGTTGCCCAAAATTGGGTTTTATATAATTTTCTATAGTTTGGTTTGTAAGGGTTAGTTATGTTTTTTACGAGTTGATCACGGATCGGTATCAGTTAGAGAAGCATTGAAAACCAGCACTGGAGTACTGGACAGCTTCTGTTTCATCCTAGTTTAGGAACCCGGCCGATAACTGCTACCTTGTCGTGGTGATCGGGCTTGAATACCATAATGACCCAATATGCTAAACTGACTGGGACTTTGTCCCTGCAGGTCCTACCATGTCAGGAAGGTTGTTTGGATTGCGGTTAAACAAAAAGCAGTTACCATGGGGTACATGGGCTCCAGTATCCAATCGAATCAAATGGCGTATGAACCCATATGGGACACCGGAAACCATGGGAATGAAGCTCCTGACGCTGCTCCGCTGCCTTGGGGATTAGACTCCAAGTCAAAGGCTAGGGGGGTGCTCCCTTAATAAAATCACTTGCTACGGTCTGGGAGCCCGAGCAGTATCTCAGCCCTCACACAATGAATTGAATAAAGCAACAAACAATCAATGAAACTTATCGCGTGCTATTACACGTGTTGCAATTTCCTTCTTTCTTCCCTTCCCGATGATAGTTAACGAATACTGTTTGAACTTGTTAAGCATGATTGTTTTCCTTCCAGATGAAGTTCTTTATCCGTTCTCTACTTACATATATACATATTTCTCTTCTTTCTTTTGATCTATGTTGTTTTAATATTATTGTGTGGCGCATCCTTCTTGGTGCCATGTTTTTATGCGTTTAAATAAATAACTAGTTTGGGAATCATCGGAAGTACACACCCACCACCAGGGTTCGAACCCAGGACCTTCCGGTTACAAGGCAAGTTAGCTCGTATACCATTCAGCCGCTGGGACCCGAATCAATGGCCACCCAATGAATTCTAACTTCTACCAATTCGTGATGCATTTACCAAGACCCCAACCATTGTCGTTGGTGGGACATCCATCCACACACGTGACATCTAATTGGACCTCACTGGCCACGAATTCTCACTAGAAGAGCCATTGAATCAGGTCCCAGTGGTTGAATGGTAGACGAGCTAACTTGCCTTGTAACCGGAAGGTCCTGGGTTCGAACCCTGGAAGTGGGTGTTTACTGCCGATGATTCCCAAACTAGGATGAAACAGTAGCCGTCAAGTACTCTGGTGCTGGTTTTCAATGCTTCTCTAACTGATATCAATCCGTGGTCAACTTGTAAAAACATATCTTATATAATCCAGGAGTCATGTATGAAAATAGCACAAATATGGAGGGTGAAGGGTGTGAGGACACAGTGCCTGATGACGATTTCCCTATAATAATATTAAAATCTGACAGAGGTTATAATTCATGAGCTGGACTTTGGGGGGAACCCGTATACCAGTGACTAACTAAAATTCCTGGTTTCGACCACCGGCTTAAGTGAGGTTGATATATAGACCTGATTTTCTACCTGTAGCCATACATGTCTGGTTTTATTTCTCCCACCTCACTTATGACTTTGAAATCCTATTGGTTATCGGCTGTTTAAATTTATCAATGTAATTAGTATCTGTCATGATCATTTACAGCATATAAATATATACACAAGCTCTGTCAATCATTTTCACTGTTGAAATGAGACGGTAAGAGCTCAGCACGTCAACAGTCAATCTTGTCTTTTTGCGTCGCACCTTCGGTGGTATCGTATTGTGGTAACGTTGTTGCTAATATCGGTTGGAACCAACAGGATCGCAAATCAACTGACTATGTAGGAAATTCGTTGGCGCGCAACTACAAGTGTATTAATAGTCAATATCAGATGTGAGCTGTGTGCATACAGCTGAAGAAATCTACGGGTGATGTAATCAGCTCATGGTAAAAAAAATTATCAAAGTAATGGTTACTGAACAAAGAATATTCTATTCGATAACTTCATCATCAGGCTCTACAATTGTATATACATTATAGTGAATGAATGAATTATTGTTATTAACAACATTAATGTTGTTGTTTAAATAACATCGAACCAGTAATAATATCAGTGGATTAGAGTTCGATAACATCATGACGATCTGGTCAAATCAGTTCTAAATCCCTCGCCGTTACCATCTTGGCGATGTCGCAGGGGTGGACAGCTGAAGATATGGCTTGGTACAGTCAAGGCTGATATGGAGTGCCTGGGGCTACAAACCGTCTACGGAATCCG